AAATTACGTCCATGCAAGCTTCACACCAGCTGTGTGATTCGTGTAAAATTTTTTCTCTTGTGGTTTTAATTCATCAAACGTTTTAAAACATCTAGCTCTCGTTTAAATTAAAAAATGTCAACCCTCACGTCGACAGATGTGTTGTTTAGATGTTTTTCATTGTTTAAGAACATTGACTGGTTCGTATAATCTGGAAACCTAACGTCTACCTGGTCCAGGTTTGGTCTTCAGCAGAATTTGCTGCAAAAAAAAAAAAATTCAGATAAGGAGGGAACCAGTTTGTGATGCACCCTGAACTGAACTTTAACAGCGTAATCCTTGTTTGTGAAATACGGTCAGTCGTTTTGAGTTGCATGTGCATGCTGAATGTGAAAATTCACATTCTTCAACCGCCATCGCCTGCATCAGACACAAAAAGGAAAAAGACTTTTCTGATCCTACTTTATTTTAATTTAGTAAATTCAAGTTTTCATGCACAAGGTCACGAATGTTGTGTAATAAAAGACTGAAAGCCTACTTTATACCTCCGGATACGAAACAATCGTTCGTACATAAATCCACTTTGTTCCATTTCAACATCAGAAACGTTAAAAACGCTAATTAAAGTAATTAATGAAATTACATTAGAGAAACTCCCCTGAACTGTAGCACATATTTCATTTGATCTCTCTCTAATTAATCAGCCATTTGATCAATTGACTTAACCCACAACGTTTTCATCAAATTAAAAGCAGCTGAGTTACCGTTAAAAGCCGAGAGCTCCGGTAAAATCTGCTCCTTGGTGATTGTGTTTTTCCAGCTTTAAATGAAGCACAGAATCAAAGACTTCACAGCTTGTTTCTACTCTCTCTAACTCTATTAAGTCATTTAGGATATAATGCTGGAATCATTTAGTGGAATATGGAAACATGGTTGAACAGTGGCGGGTGTCAAAGGTGAAACAATCCGTAAATGAAAAACTGGTTGTGCTTACAGGAGTGGGAGAGTGACTCACCTCTTTCACTGTGAAACTTCCTACATGTTTTCACAGCAACAAACATGTCTTCTCTTTTTACAGACTCCCCCTTAGAATAAAAAAAAGAGCCAACAATGAACAAATCTGCTGTTTCTACATTTTATTTCGTGCTTCAGGTGATGGAAAGTTCAAATGATCAGCAGGAGTGCATATTTTCTATTATAAGATTTTCTATTTTAACTTTATTGTGACTGATGCAGAATTATTCAGCATAGCTATATAACAGGGACATATATATATATATATATATATATATATATATATATATATATATATATATATATATGTGTGTGTATGTAAATATATGTAATATATATACATATGTATATATGCATATATGCATATATATATATATATATGTATATATCTGAATATAGATAGACAGACAGACAGACACAGACAGACAGACAGACAGACAGACAGATAGATAGATAGATAGATAGATAGATAGATAGATAGATAGATAATCATTATTGACAGACTCTTAGGTCCAGATAAAATATATATAAAACAACAGATCAATGAAACTAAATAGATAAATAGAAATAAAAATGTATATATACATATATTCATATATATATGTATATATATATATATATATATATATATATATATATATATATATATATATATATATGAATATATGTATATATATATATATATATATATATATATATATATATATATATATATATATATGAATATATGTATATATATATATATACATAAATATATATACATATATTCATATATCTGAATATAGATAGACATGTATATATGCATATATATATATATATATATGTATATATCTGAATATAGACAGACAGACAGACAGACAGACACAGACAGACAGACAGACAGACAGACAGACAGACAGACAGACAGACAGACAGACAGACAGACAGACAGACAGACAGACAGACAGACAGATAGATAGATAGATAGATAGATAGATAGATAGATAGATAGATAGATAGATAGATAGATAGATAGATAGATAGATAGATAATCATTATTGACAGACTCTTAGGTCCAGATAAAATATATATAAAACAACAGATCAATGAAACAAAATAGATAAATAGAAATAAAAATTTATATATACATATATTCATACATATATTCATATATATATGTATATATATATATATATATATATATATATATATATATATATATACATACATACATATATATATGTATATATATATGTATATATATACATATATTCATATATATATATATATATATATATATATATATATATATATGTATATATATATGTATATATATACATATATTCATATATATATATATATATATATATATATATATATATATATATATATATATATGAATATATGTATATATACATATATATACATATATTCATATATATATGTATATATATATATATATATATATATATATATATATATATATATACATATATTCATATATATATATATATATATATATATATATATATTCATATATATATATATATATATATATATATATATATATATATATATATATATATACATATATACGTATATACGTATATACATATGTAAAAACCAGACAATAGTATATAATTAAAAAAGGATTAGCGTAATAATTTTTTGTGTGCATGCTATCGTCCAGGTCACCCATGTCAAAAACAGCTACAGGCCTGGTGGTTCTTGAAGCACTGACTACAGCTGCAGTCCACTGTTTGTGAATCTCCCCACAGTTTCGAATGGGTTTTGTTTCACAGTCCTCTCCAGGGTGCAGTTATCCCTACTGCACATACGCTTATTTTGAACCACACCTTGTCCGTCCCTACACCTCTGTATTAATGTGCTTGGACACAGCGCTCCGTGAACAGCCAGTCTGTTTAGCGATGACCTTTTGTGTCTTGCCCTCCTTGTGCAAGGTGTCAATGGTCGTCTTTTGAACAACTGTCAAGTCAGCAGTCCTCCCCCTGATTGCGTAGCCTACATAACTAGACGGTAAAAACATTTTAAGGCTTTTGCAGATGCTTTCAGTTAATTAGCCGACTAGTGTGCCTCCAGGTGTCTTCAATATTGATCCTTTTACAATATTCTAATATTCTGAGATACTGAATTTGGGATTGTCATTAGTTGTCACTTCTAATCATCAAAATTATAGAATTCGTCGTCGTCGTCTTCCTCCGCTGATCCGGGTTCGGGTCGCGGGGGCAGCATCCCAACTAGGGAGCTCCAGACCGTCCTCTCCCTGGCCTTCTCCACCAGCTCCTCCGGCAGGACCCCGAGACGTTACCGGACCAGATTGGAGATGTACTGTAACCTCTCCAACGTGTCCTGGGTCGACCCGGGGGCCTCCTGCTGGCAGGACATGCCCGAAACACCTCCCCGGGGAGGCGTCCAGGATGCATCCTGACCAGATGCCCAAACCACCTCAACTGACTCCTTTCGATCCGGAGGAGCAGCGGTTCTACTCCGAGTCCCTCCCGAATGTCTGAGCTCTTCACACAATCTCTAAGGCTGAGCCCGGCCACCCTACGGAGGAAACTAATTTTGGCCGCTTGTATCCGTGATCTCGTTCTTTCGGTCATTACCCAAAGCTCATGACCATAGGTGAGGATTGGGACGTAGATCGACCGGTAAATCGAGAGCCTGGCTTTCTGGCTCAGCTCCCTCTTCACCACGACAGATCGGCTCAGCATCCGCATCACTGCAGACGCTGAACCAATCCGCCTGTCGATCTCCCGATCCCTCCTACCCTCACTCGTGAACAAGACCCCGAGATACTTAAACTCCTCCACTTGAGGTAGGACCTCTCCCCCGACCTGGAGTTGGCAAGCCACCCTTTTCCGGTCGAGAACCATGGTCTCAGATTTGGAGGTGCTGATCCTCATTCCAGCCGCTTCACACTCGGCTGCGAACCTACCCAGCAAGAGCTGAAGGTCAGAGCTGGATGAAGCTAGGAGGACCACATCATCCGCAAAAAGCAGAGACGAGATTCTCCTGCCACTAAACTCGACACACTCCACACCATGGCTGCGACTAGAAATTCTGTCCATAAAGGTAATGAACAGAACCGGTGACAAAGGGCAGCCCTGGCAGAGTCCAACCCTCACTGGGAACAGGTCCAACTTACTACCGGCTATGCGGACCAAACCCACGCTCCTCTCACAAAGGGACTGAATGGCCCTTAACAGAAAGCCACCCACCCCATACTCCTGGAGTGTCCCCCACAGGGTGCCCATGGGGACACGGTCATAAGCCTTCTGCAAATCCACAAAACACATGTGGATTGGCTGGGCAAACTCCCATGCCCCCTCCATTACCCTTGTGAGGGTATAAAGCTGGTCCACAGTTCCACGGCCGGGACGAAAACCACATTGCTCCTCCTCAATCTGAGATTCAACTATCGATCGGACCCTCCTCTCCAGTACCTTGGAGTAGACCTTTCCAGGGAGGCTTAGGAGTGTGATCCCCCTATAGTTGGAACACACCCTCAGGTCACCCTTCTTAAAGATGGGGACCACCACCCCGGTCTGCCACTCCACAGGAACTGCCCGCGATGACCACGCAATGTTGCAGAGACGTGTTAACCATGACAGCCCTACACCATCCATAGCCTTGAGATACCCAGGACGAACCTCATCCGCCCCCGGGGCTCCGCCGCTGTGTAGTTCTTTGACTACCTCAGCAACTTCTGCCCCCGAGATTGGACAGTCCATCCCCAGGTCTCCCGGCTCTGGTTCCTCCTTGGAATGCGCATAGGTGGGATTGAGGAGCTCCTCAAAGTATTCATTCCACCGTCCGACTATAGCCTCAGTTGACGTCAGCAGCTCCCCATACCCACTGTAAACAGTGTGATTGAGTTGCTGCCTTCCTCTCCTGAGGCGCCGGACAGTTTGCCAGAACCTCTTTGGAGCCGATCGATAGTCTTTCTCCATGGCCTCACCAAACTCCTTCCACGCCCGAGATTTTGCCTCGGCAACTGCCACTGCTGCACCCCGCTTGGCTATCCGGAACTTCAACATTTGAAATATATCAATCTGTGTTTAATAATTAATATAATATACAAGTTTTACTTATTTAACAGAATTACTAAAAAAAAAAAAAACTTTGTCAAGATAGGCTAATTTATGACCAGGACCTGAATGTCTAAAAATTTCACATAATAAACTATTAATTGAAAATATTAGGGCGTGGCCCGATAAATAAGTTAGCTTTTAATCTTTTATATCCCAGTTTTTGTGATTAAAAAAATAAAATAATAATAATAATAAAGCGCATTAATCTCTTTTTTATGGTACAATCTGATGTCATAATCAAACCAAAACCTTTATTATAAAATATATTTTCTATATTTAAACCAATGATCTAGTAATTTTTTTCTAAATCATTCCTCACATTTTAAACTCCTACATATTTTAATAAACTGTGAAGTGATCCTTTTTTAAATAATCTGTTAGTTGTTTGTCCATTTATTACATCACTGCCATATAATAAGAGACTTCACAAAAAAGCCATAAACTTCATCAGGATGTTTACTTAAGAGAATTAAGACAGGCAATTATAACTTCCTATAAATGTTGCAGCACAGTAAAGATGCTTTGTCGACTTATACATCCTAGTTGTTCTGACTTAGTGTCTAAAAATTTAAAGGACAAATTTTACTGCTGTCCCCGCTTTGACTGCTGTCCTTCGCCTCCAGGAATCTGTCTCCTGAGGCTCTTGATTCTTTTCTTGATGCTGAAGCCAGATGCGGTTCTGGCTCCAGCTGGCAATTTGCCATGCAGCTATTGTGGAAAAAGTCCAATTATGATTTGCCACCTTCTGTTTTTATTGGAAACCTCCCTGAATAGATATTAAATGTGCGACGTTGGTGTTCCCTAATACTGGTTGCCCGAATGGGGTTAAAATAAAAGTAGTCTGATGAGGACAGAGATGTCAACAAAGGAGGTAATAGCAAACACGCACCAGACTCAAGACCAAACATGCAGTGTGTGTGTGTGTGTGTGCATGCATGCAAGCATATCTGTGTGATCTGAATAACAAATGCAGTTCAGATGGATTTTTTTTTATTCTGTCAAAACTGTCTCAAAGGGGAGGATGAAAAATTAGAATAGGGACACCTTCAGCAGCCGTTTTTGCATCCTTAATATAACTCACCTGATTTAGCCAAGAAAACTATAGTCGCAATCCCACTAGAGGAAAACTTAATTCTTCACAAGCTAAAGGATTATTTCATTAGTTTTTAAATACAATTAGCATTGTTTATTTATAAAGCCCCTTCCCACCCCTCAGTCAAGGGAGATCCAAGTGCTGTGAAACACAAAAACACTGTAAAAGCAAACATTACAGTCAAATAAATACACAAAGCACTAAAAAATTAAAAGAATCAGAAAAAAACACTCAAATATTTTAAAAAATTTACCAGCAAACTGATTCAATGGGCAGAGACCTGGACAGTTTTATCTCTAATGAAAATTGATTCCAGAGCCGAGTAACTATAACTGAAAAAGCTCCATCACCCCCAGACTTGTGTTTGATGGAACCAACAGGTCCCTCTGAAGCGAGCACTGAGGTCTTGCAGGGATGTAACGAGTCACAAATGAGGCTAAATATGGTGGCGCTGATCCAGACTGAATTAAAAACAAAGACCAGGATTTTGAACTTCACTGGTAACCAGTCCAACCACCGCTTAGTGCTAGAGTAACGTTCATGTAAAGGTTATTAAATAACAGATGGAAAGAACCAAGAAAACACACTTAATATTTTTACTGTCTACTGTGCTTAAGTTGAGTTTATTACAGAAACCTTTTTCTGTCAAACCTTCCTATAATATTTTGCCCATAGCAGACAATGATAGGAATGTAAAGAAGTACACTGAAATGTTGCAATATTTTGTGTTATGATCCTAAATCAATATTTAGGTAAATGCAGTATATATATTTTTTTACTGAGAATTTAAACACAAATTGTGGTTTAATTTAAACTCCGACTACTAGGTGGCAGCAGTTTAATCACATTCATTCTGATGGAACTACAAGTTCTTGCGATAACACTGAATGTCTTAGAAGTATCTGGGCTAAGTTTTCCAATTTAAGTACATCAAAGGGCAGAAGTAGAGTGGGTTGTCCAGTAACCAGCGGGTTCAATCCTCGTGCCCTTGGGCAAGACATTTAACCCGTCTTGCCTGCCGGTGGTGGTCAGAGGGACCAACGGCGGCAGTGTTCGGCCAGCCTCGCCTCTGTCAGTGCGCACCAGGGCGGCTGTGGCTACATCGTAGCTCATCACCCCCAGCATGTGAATGTGTGTGTGACAGCTGTGGGCCCTTAGAATCTTCCTAATCTTTTGCCGCTTTACGGCACCCCTGTTTGTTGGTAAATGCCATATCGTTAGATTCTTGTCAAGGTGTACAAAAGCTGAATCACAACAATATTTTTATCTAGTAGTGAAGTCGTACTGATGTGGATTAACAAAAATGTTCAAATTAAATTAAGTTGTGTGCGTCTTCAAAAACAAACGGATGTAGAAGAACTAATCTATGAGATACTAAAATCCTCTCCAGATAAAAAATTGACAACCTGCAAGTTTAGATGGTTTTAGTTTTAGTATTTTACATAAATGTTAGTTGTGAGACGGTATATTTGTATATGAAGTGAAGAACATGAACAAAAATGAGCAGCAGGAGCTCTGTGGAAAAGATGGATTTTCCTTTTGATGCAACTTTCCCTGGAAAAGGAAAGACCAGCTCTGATCTTTAAACCTAATTCAAGTATTGTTCATTAATATTGAAAAGCATAAACTTGAACGCATTTAGAGAAAAAAAAGTACCTGGGAACAATGCAAGAAGATGTTGCTAAGCAACAGGGAATAATTTTGATCTTGGCCGGACAACAAAATTTAAAGAGCAAGTCACCCCCTACAAGAGACTTACTTCACTCCCACTTAATGTTTGAAAAAGGCAACAAATACTGTTGCCTGGCAGACCGAGAGGGCGGAGCTGCTAACAAATACACAGGCTTACAATGGCATTGTGACATCATAATGTACCAGTTTAAATCATGGCATACCTCTTAGCCAATAGCGGTGGCAGATTTAAATTCAAATACAGTGCAGAGTTTATACCTGACGACGGCACAACACTGACAGTTTTAGGCAGAATATTTAAAATTTAACTAAAGTGCACTGAAGTTCCAAATTATTGACTACACATGTCTGCAGCACGATTAGACACTTGTTCATGTCGTTTATCAGCAAAGAAAAGTTGGTTTGGGGGTGACTTGCTCTTTAAATTGGCTAAAGAAGTAGACAATTTCTGGCTTTTTCGGCTAATCCACCAGATTCTAGTGAACGGGATTTATATGTTGAACTTCCCTTTGAATTGTCGCTGCTCCTCAGACTCAGGCTGAATAAAACAGATCATCACTGTAACTAGTAGCAGACCACTTTTGATTTTATCTGGTCGTTTAACTTAGTTTCTCTTCCCGGGGATTTGAGGACAATCAAACTAATATGCACACAGAGTGGACACTCACACACGCTGGAGGCTCTTTCCTCAGAGTCGTTGCACAGTGATGTGCACGAGGAGAGTCCTCTGGCTCAGTGCACAATTCAGGAACGGCGGTGAGACGGGGGCCATTCCCATTGTCCCAGATATACAAAGCAATCTGGAAAGATTCAAAATGATCTAATCAGGTTAATGAGCTCGAAACCGGGAATCTTCCTGACAGGATTTCTGAATTATAAAAGAAAATTTCTGTATTCTTTAATAATAAATACAAAAGTAGTCTTACATAAAAAATTTGATGGAGCAAAAGTTTTAGTTGTAATAAATAGAAAAGGCTATGTCGGATTCAATATATGGTATTGCGCTTTATAGTTTTCTGCAAGGAAAAGAGTTTAGTAAGAGAATGACTCAACTAAAACAGATAATAAACCACCAGAAACTGGAACAACACTGATGACTAAAGGTACAATATGTAAGAAATAAATATGAACGACATTCTGTGGTCAAATTTGGATACTGCTGCCTACTTTTTTAAACAAAAGGTGACTGCGCCCTACGTTCTGTGACTGTCATGGCAATTGCCAGTTAAGAATCAACACCATAAGATTCTAGATGATAAGCAAAGAAGAGTCATGCACAGTAAATTGACAAGTAGATAAATACATCGGGTATTAGCATTCTTGCGTGCTTTACAGTAGGGAGCACTTACAACAGTTATTACGGTAGTATGCTTCCGGCATTAGGGGAAGTGCAGCTGTTTGCCTTCCTGCTGTTAGCTTGCTGTTATAATTCTGAGCGACTCATTAAAAGAAAGTAAAACAACACGATTGACTCATTCACTTCACACATACATTCCACTGTAATATTTCGATGTTGATGATAGAAAAAGTAGCTTGAGATATTTTTAGAGGAAAAAATTTGCTTCTGATTCACTGTTAGCATTGTTCAACCTTAGCTTCTAGCCTGCGTTACCCTATTTTAGTGGAAAAGATAAAGGTGTCCTGGCTTCTTAAGGGTACAAGAAATAACTTCTGGGTCACTCCTGTTTACTGGCTTTGGTTCTATAAACAAGTCTGAAGCTTTTGCCTGTCGGTGTCGGATTACAAATGCTGGCACAGCAGCATTAGCTCAGCACAGACTCAGATATCTAACGGAATCAGCGATTGTAAACCGTAGCAATGTCCCGCTTCAGTGTTGGTGAAAGGAGAAAAACTGACAACCCCGTAGGGGGTTGAGAAAAAAATATGTTTCAATATAACCTTCCTTCCAACATGACTGAGACGTTGGATTGTTTCATTGTAAGATATGTACATATTGTACCTTTAACTCATGAACTGCCAATGACAACTAAAGTCGTCATTTTAAATCCAACCGTTCACCGCCAATGACTAAAGTCGTCATTTGCATTTTTTACTGTGTGGGCGTCGGAACGAGCCCCCGCACCGTGAGAACAAACATCCCAGCTCTAAAACCGATCTTCATCCGCGTACATCACTCGTCACATGATCAGGAAGCAGAAAAACCATGTGTTAGGAGATCATTTTGGGCCGCTGCTGTAAAAAAGTGAGGTCCGAACCGGAAAAGCTTCTGCCGAACGCAATTCGACAACGGATTTTGAAAAAAACAGATAACGTTCGAAACAGGTGGATTCTTCCTGATGTAAGAGAAGAGTCTCCTCTGTGTTTTGTTAGTTTTGGCGACGTCATCCTAGCGCGCAACATTCTGTGACTCTTAAAAAAACTGTGAAAACGCTGAAAAACGCTGGCAGCGAAGGGCTTTTCTGATCAGGAAACGGCTGGCAGTGAATGAGTCAAGTAAAGTCAGATTTTTAAACTTCTTCCACTCAAATTTCATAGCTTCCATTTTAATTTACCACCTAAAGAAAATATATATCTTATCAATACATAACTTACGGAAAAAAACACCTCACATTATCTCAAACTGCACCAGCTCTTTTCCAGAATGAGCCTGATAAGTCTGATGTTGCATGTGTACTGAACAAAAACCCATAATGCATCCCTGGCTGAATTTCTGTGATAAAAAAAAAAAGAGCTTCAATGCCGCACCATGACAGTCCTCCAAAGTAATGAGATTTTACTTAGACGCTTTCATGCCTTGCTCTTTTTGTGCAAATATATTAAAAAGGTGCAGGCTGACACAGATGTGAGTCCAGGAAACTAAACGGTTGCAAAACAGGAGAAAATAAAATGGAGGTAACGAATGTCTGACTTGCACGTCAGCTTACCTCATGTTTCAGATCAATGGTGAAGTCAGATTTAAGGGGCTCGTCTCTCACTTTGTCTGCAAGCCTGAAATATCAAATCACACATGTTAAAGTGAGAAGCACGTCTAAATTTATCCACGACTATGAAATCTAAAATGAATAGCTTGTTTAACCAGCAGACAGGTGTATTTCTGATACGCACCGAACAACTAAAGGGATGCTCAGAGCCCAGGCAGCAGCAAAGTCTGGGTACTTGAAGACAGAGGGGTTCTCTGCAAACGCGTAGTGATGGATGATGGTTGACTCCTCGTCATACAGGGGTTTACCAAGAAACCACTCCTAGTGGTTTATTTCAGAAACACATTTGAATAAGTAAAAGGAGAAATGAAAGTTTTTCTATAAACACGGCATGTTTTAAACAAAGAAACCTTCGGGCTTCTGCTCTAATTACGTCTTCACTCTGCACTTTGCTGGAAAACCTTTGAAATCATTTCCAGCGAGTAGGTTTGTTACTAGCAGGGGGAGTAATGAGAATTTGTGATGGAACAAAGTTTGAACATGCCAGATATCGTAACAGCTAAGTGTCTGATGTTTGACATTTCTGGAGTAGGAGAAGTCTTCAGAATAGCATCTGTCGCTGCGCAACTGAGACACACAAGTTCTAAAGGAAGATCAACACAAATAAACATGTGACACAAAAACAGAAAAATAATCCAATATCTTTGTTTACGATACTTAAACTACAATGAAATGCATTCAATCGATAGTAAGGTAAAGGGCAGAAGATGGGACGTGATAGACCCCGAGGGCATGGTGTCTGCGTACCAGCTGGTGCTTGTGATGCTTGTGATGATGCCGGAAATGATAAAAGGGTGGCAGATCTACTGGAAGGTGTGTCTGGTCGACCTGTTATCGTGGCACCCTGTTCTGGGGGGCGGGATCGCTCGCAGTCGTTTAGGACTGCCGGCAATGAAGTAGACTGAGTAGGTGGGTGGTGTTTCAGCGCTAGGAGGGGAGGCTAACTACCTCCTTTAGGTAGCGAGGGTAGGAACCCGCTAATAGCTGGGTGACGGATTCTGTTTTAATAGGTAAGGGATGGGTGGAAGACCATAAGAGGGCCAGTAGGGGGCAGTAGCTGGGTTTAACAGGAGGACTCCTCGGAGAAATGTTATTGTTGAGTTGTGCTAATAACTGCCCATGCAACCCACTGCTACTTTAATGACAGTAATGGTATTACAATTGGAGCTGGTTTTCACCATTATCATCATCATCATCATCATCATCATTATCACCATCACTGATTAATGATTACATTTTGAATTCGACAGTGAATTATAAAACAACGCATCTATGAACTGAAGCAGGTAATGCAGCAAAGTGGAAGAATGATTTTTTAGATTTTAAATGAGCAATTTATGTCAAAAACCCACAAACATCTGAGCTGGATTGCTTCTTCTTAGAGGAACAAGCTTCTTAAACCTTGTCAAGATTGACGTCCATCATAGATATTTAGATCAAGACATTCCTGTGGATGATGGTGCGGAAACTGAGATCTCCCGTGCTTTTGATGAATGACAATAAAACAGTTTTCTTTCTATTAAAAGGGACTTTACGGACTTTTGAATTTTTATGCTCATGATTGCCCCCTCAGACCAAAAGCGTAACGGCAGCTTCAATAGTAGGCTCGTGCACGAGGCGCGCATGCTGTACGTGCACACTCCTTAACGAAAATAACAGCTGAGACAGTCCCTTTTGTGTGTGTGTGTGTGTGGCCCGGAGGACAGAGGACAGGAGAATGCGCAGCTAATTAATTAAATAATTTGGTTCTGTACCTTTCTCTTCAGCACAGCCGACAAAGGTTTATGATGGGTCAGTCCTCCTGCATGCTCAGATCATTCCCTTCCCTTGCTTGAAAAATTGTTCCAAAATGAAAGTTAAACCCACATCTTTTTCATCTGTGAATTCAACGCCGTTCGGCGAGTCTCAAATAAAAATGTGGGCGTCTTACTATAAAAACATATAACATTAATGTAAAAAAGAAACTCTAAATAAACTATGTTCACATCCAGAATCAAACCCAGGTCTTCCACATGGGAGTCAGACATCTTACAAGGTGAGCTACACACCAGTAACATTCACAGTATCTGTAACATTTATATCCTTGATGACAGCTGAAACAGCGTCAATCCAAAGAACGGTTCAGAGCGAAAATGGCTATTTTGTTGCTAATTTGCAGGAAATATCTAGAAGAAAGTTCTACAGAAAGTAGCTAAGGGTCCTCAGAAATGTAGCTAGCTTTGTCACTAGGCGTTAGGAACAGCGACAAAGTGGCACTGCCTCTCTCTCTGCTGCTAAAGCTACGGATAGCAAATGCTACGGGCTATGCCTGAGCGTGAACACGCATGAAGCAGCCTGCTCGACCCGAGCATCTCTCTTTTTCTGTGATTTTACAGAAAAACAGGCAATCACAGTAAAAATGCCAGGGCTCATTCTACAGGACCAGGGCATTGCAGGAGAATGTATGAAGAAGAAATTTATTATTTCTATACATGTTTTGGCTGTCAAACTTCCATAATGCCTCTTGAATTTAAATTTTGGTTAATGTTTATCTGGATGAAATCTCAATGTTCAATTCCATCCAATCGCGTTCTCTTTTTCAGCCAATTTTGAGAATAATGTCATAATGCTGAGGAAAAGGTTGCTATTATGAGAAAAACGGGCCATAAATATACCCCTCCAACCAAACAAACAAACAAAAAACATCTAATATGTGACATTTATGATTAACCATAAAGTTTATGACATTATTTCTCACCATGTTGTATAAAAGTATAAGAGAATACAAACACTGCAGTCTGAGAGCAGCTGGCAGATAGCAGCAATTGACTTTCCTCACTGTTTATTTTCTATTTCTATTATGATATGGCACGGCCTTTTTTTTTCATTCTAATAGGTTTATAACTACTTTTTTGCAGACGTTTGCTTTCCATAAATGTACAAATACGTGAAAAGTGATTTAAATAGCGTAAATAAAAGCACCTATTCTCATGTCAACGATTACGTTCCTAAAATATTCAGAAATGAAAACTTTGTTTTTTAACCCAAACCGAGGCGGACCACGGTGAGCTGTAACACTTCAGAGAGGACGTTTAGCTTCAGGGGATGTTGTAATGAATCAAGTCACCGGGATGTTGTGTACTTTAGTCTTCTGCTTCCTCCTTAGAGTGGAGATGCGTTTATGCATACATTAAGTCTTTTTTTGCCTTTGAAATAAAATATCCATCAGGGCTTAGACAAGTCAGTAAAACCACAGCTGAACCCCAACAGAAACAAAAGATTATTAATTGTTGTCGGATTAACATCAAAGTGTAATTATAGCAAATTTTTTCTGGTGTTTCAGCTTGTTGGCAAGAGCAACAAGCAGTGAAATAAAAAAAAGCAAGTCAAACAACCACTGAGCATCCAGATCAAACAAAAAAATTTGGATTATCTTAAATTTTCTTTGAATTATTTACGAGGAAATATTTTCCGACGCACCTTCTAAGAAGCTACAACATTAATTCACTGTCTTGCTGCAGGAGTTATCGAGCGTTTTATCACAACCAATTTATGGACACATGTAGATGAGCTGCAGGAGTGAAAGAACAGAGATTAAATTAGCTGTCGATCTGAGACCGGAGTGACAGGAGATGATTGGAGCCGGTGCGGATCGGTGGAGCAGAACAGATGCAAAGGACCTGGAGCTTTACAAGATACCGTCTGATCCAGGTGATGATCAAAAGAAACCAGGGAGCTTTAGTCCTGCTTGTGATGTAGGTAAAAAAAAGACAATAAGTTTCGAGTTTATTGAGAGAAAATGAAATGCAGACTTACTTTGTCCTTGTCAAATTTGGCCAAGACTTGGAGTAAGGGAACTGTGTTCACATTCGTTTCCTCCTGTAGAAACACAATCCAGGAAGAGTTCCTCCCAAAGGAGCGAGACATGCTGAAGATGCACATTCAGAAATAAAGCAAAACTAAAGTTAAATAAAACAACACAAGCAAATGGAACAATGACTTCCACTGATCAAAATGACAAAACTGAAGAATGAAATGAGACTTTCTTCCAGCTCAGTCAGATCAAAGCGGCTAATGTTTATAGAGAGAAAGTTGTGACTCTGACACGGCCATAAAAGAGAACGCTGTGGCTTTAATGATCCAAATACTGAATATTTGCTATGGATGACAAGAACAGGGAAATAAAAAAACAGTGAACAGATTTAGTTGTTTTTTTCTGAAGAACGCAGACAGCTGCTGCTAAAGTGTTTTCATGCTGTTTTCAGCGCTGATTAAGCGCACTAAAAGGACTTTTTTCACACTTTCTGACACACGAAGAAGATGTTTATCATAATGTGACACAATCCATCACAATTACTGTGTTTGTAATGAGTTTGCAGCAATTAGACCCTCCTCTAATCCTAATTAAAAACATTGGACCCTTCTAACACTTGTTCACATTATGAACTCTGAATTTAAACCAGGAGTGGGTTATTGAGGATACTTACTAAGGCAGCAGGGGAAGAATACTCCAGTCCCCCTCATTATCTGACAAGCTGTGAAGACATAAAACCACTGGTGGGTCCTGAAAAAACACAGAGTACAGAAAGAGGAGAATTAGTTTTTGTGGTAGAGGGGGAGGTCTGTTATGGCGAGCCGAGGGGCGGAGGTTGATACCTAACAGTTACGTTTGAGATCTGGGATTGGGGGACAACTTTTATCTTTTAGGTGTACGACTGACAGAATCCGCATAAGGAGGAGCAATGTGGTTTTCGTCCTGGCCGTGGAACTATGGAATAGCTCTATACCCTTGCAAGGGTGATGGAGGGGGCATGGGAGTTTCCCCAACCAATCCACAAGTGTTTTGTGGATTTGGAGAAGGCTTATGACCGTGTCCCCGGGGGCACCCTGTGGGGGACGCTCCAGGAGTATGGGGTGGGTGGCTTTCTGTTAAGGGACTAAAAATATGAGACGACCAGAACACTGAGAGAAAGTGAACTAGCATTAGCCTCATTTTAGCTAACGTTTTCATATGTAAACACAGCTGAACTTACTAAAAATGAAGGTTATTGTAATACAATCAAAAAATAAACCACACAACAGCTAATTCACATTTCTTCTTGATATTTTAATCTTGAAACTGAGGATGTTCGATATCGGCTTTTTTACCGATATCCATTTTATCAATATTTTCCTACCCTCATTATTCCATTATAATGCCAATATCGGCCCATAATATCGGACTTCTAACGTGGAACTCTATTTCTGGCAGCCTTACTTGTAACTTGTATGAAACCTATTCCCTTCCCCTTTTTCAAAACTGTGCAACCTCCCGTGTATGAATATATGTTCGTATTATCATTATTTTTTTAATCGATGCAAGAATTTTCATCTTTATTTCTATAAAACAAATTTTTTATTAACCCTCCCACCGTCCTAATGGGTGTGACCCCGCGAGGAAAGTTGACCATTGAACAGGGTTGATGGTTTATCCCTTGAGGTCCACGTGGCAGGGGTGAGGTGGTGCTCACTCCTCACCCCTGCCCTGCCTCGCGGGGTCACACCCATTAGGACGGTGGGAGGGTTAAGACTCTGACTGGTACGTTGAACTTTCTGAGAAATATACCTGAAACTCTTTCATTTTAAGCAATCCAAACGTTCAAATTATGGATCTAATTATGGATTACGCACTGATGGATTTTTATGGTTAAGTGGCATCTTTGAATGTCAAAACTAAACAAGTTTTAGCGTTTTGTCTTTTTTCTCTTGTTGTGCACAGCGATGGTTTTCTGTGTAGGTTGTAAAAGGCCGTGTCTGTTCGAAGTAGACAGATTGCTTGTGGGCGTATGTGTGATGAGTTATGAGCAAAATAAAAAACAAGAAATGGTTTATTAAAGGATGACTACAAACTGTATGAAGACAAGGAGAACATATCCAATTACGCTGGGGTCACAGAATTCAAATGTGACTGCAGAAAAGACAAAATAAGACGTATTTGTTCAGTAGAAAGCAGTTATTTTGTAACTATTAAACACCGATTTCTGTGTGTAGCATGATTGGAAAGACTAAGGTTCTGCTGGTAACAACCAAGAATGGTTAGACTTTTTTGGAATTAGCCAATCATAGCTCTCATCCAACTAAAAATACAATCATACAAAAAGAAATGCTGCTGCTGGTACATTTTCCCACCAAGGACGATTAACTTTAGTAAGAAAGTACATTTCTAGGTTAATTTCTTGGCAAGGCAGAGCAGAAAAGGCGAGATGAGAATTTTCCGTTGTGTGGACAGGACAGGGAAGGTATGTGAGGATTGTCTGAGGGTTGCAGAGTGTCAGGAAAACAAAGCAGCAGAGCGTATAAGTGCCTGTGGTTCATTACACCACGGTCCAGATGTCACATTGACCAACGCTGCCTAGTGACGGCTTGATCTATGCAAAACCCTCTACCACTGTTTACACATATTTTTAAAAGTAGCATCAAATGAAAAATGTCATACAAGTGAGAAGGTAAGGGCTTAACATTTAAGCTAAGAGTTATATCATCTGCAAATAGCGAAGTAATCGAAGTTTGGCACATAAAGTTAAAGCCCCATAGTCATGTAGCGTTAGGAAGTTGATAATGGTCTGCCTTAACAGCTGCCCCCTCACACAGTAACACCGCCAAGGTCGGACGCTTGGTTCAGTATGTTTACATTCCAGGAGAAGAGACAGAAGAACAGAAGAAGAACGCTTTCCATTGATTAATCAAAGTACTTTATTTGTGATAAGCTAATCAAAGCATTTGTTGGTCATTAATAATCAGGTGAATGATCTGTGAAATAAAGATGTCATGAGTTATGTGTTTAAATGAATAAACAGGGCTGCACCAGTCACACTGATATGCATTACCATGGAAACGCATGACACATTGTTTTCAACCAATCAGAACTTTCGTCTGTCGTAGGGCAGAATCTGGTTTGTTTATGAAAGTAGTCCAGTCCGGTTACTAAGATTCTTAAACAACTGGGAGATATAAAAAGAAGGCAACGGCATTTTAAGTCAGTTCCACGTTGAGTTCCACTTTGACATCAGCTCTGCTCGATCCGAGCTCCAAGGAGTTACATCATACTCTCAACATTGTTTTCAACCAGCTCTCAATCCGTCACCGCAAAGAGGAATACAGGCTGGCCAACTGTATTTCCTGTTTTAAGCTGAGAACTGTTCGTGTGTACCGACGAGACTACATTCCTTCAAAATAAGAGTGAACTGACGCCTGCCGACTACTACAGGAGTGATCCTCAGACGGGCGGTGTGTGCTGTGACCGCTGTTTCAACCAGCTCCAGTACAACCGAGGTCTTAGAACCTGGCAAATCCTAATCTACACGGGAGACTCCATCTACGGTACGTGGTCACGGCAATATGGCTGCTCATGTCATCAGCTTCTGAAGCCTCGTGGTAGCCTAGTCATAACAAACCAGATCCGCTACTCAGCCTAGAGATTCTGAACAAAACACACACACACACACACACACACACACACACACACACACACACACACACACACACACACACACACACACACACACACACACACACACACAACATCTACATCCATATGCATTCATCATTGAGATAGTCCTGGTAGATTGTAAGAATTTATAATTATAGAAATTAAAGATTCTTAAACGATCCCAACTCTCTCTCTTTCTTGTCTCTCAGTCAGTACAAAGTGTTTAAGTAAACTCCCTGATGATATAAACAACCTCTTCTGATTGATTACTTAGATTGTATAAATATACAAAATCAGGTAATTAAATTATCTAATTACAGTATATAAATATACAAACTTCTAATCACAACAGTCATTATCACACATTAGTTAAATTCATCTTCGCATTTGAAATGAGCCGACATGAACGATAGCGTGTTGAATTTGTTTTTGAGGTGGTGACACGATTGACGGTGCTCAGGACGCAGATGTCTGGAGCGCGTCAACGATCAGAGCTTTGCATGCACAAACTGGTTAAGATTAGGATGGGGTGAGGGGAAGGTTAAATTGCAAGAGGGAAAAGGTCACAGTTTGGTTAAATGTCCGTTTTACCGCCGGTGTCAGTACCGATGCTCTGGCACAGCACATCGCCTCCGCCTCCCGACGCAGGGGCTCATCACCTGCTGGAGGACTGCATCTTGTTAGTCATTATCACGTGACAGCGACTAGTCGATGACAGGCATAAAAAGTCACTACAGAGCCGTGAAGTCGACTAGTTCATACAACCCCTACTCCACCCACACTTCCCATTTAAAAATTAAATGTCCTTTTTTAAACTAGTTTTAACCTGCAACTGTTTTCTCTTTGTCTACTACAGCTGTATTTTTATGCTTTTTCTGTTAAACAACTCAGTGTGACTTGAGCTTGAAAATCACTGAACAAATGAAGGTTGACTGACAATAAGAACAGGAGGAATAAGCACATTTCCTTCAGAGGTTTCACAAGTGGATGCTTTGTTTTCCAGAACGAGAGCATTGTAAAAGTCTATAAAAACAAAATTCACTATTCAGTCACTCAAAATCCTTAAAGATAATTGAGTTTATTTATTGTGGTATTTCCTAAGATTAGAAAATATTTGGAGATGTTTGAAGAGAAGTTTGTTACAGCACACTAACATGAAACCTGTTTCCACTATCAAAACTTCCTGGCCATTTTACAGGACCTTCACGGCATGCTTGTGTCTCCATTTCATTAAACCGTCCATCCCAAAAGGACAGCTTTCCAAGCCGTTTCAGAGAACTACCAAAGTTTTTCTTTCCTTTGGTTATTCACTTGAAATGGCCCAGTGGAGGTGCTGGACAGGACTTGTGGTTAACTCATGCTAATTGGTTGTATCTCAATAGGAAATTATATCAGCAGATGTTGCCAAACAACCTGAATTTGTTTAATTTGATTGACGCAACTTTAAAATAGCAGGCTCTAAACTCCAACATCAAAATAATGCAGTAGAAATCCCTCCACAACGCCATAATTTTGGTGATGGTGGTCTCCCACAGAGCGCCATGAAAACGGCGCTTCTTAAAGTCCGTGAACACCGCTTTGTCACATAGCCACTCTCCCAGTCCTGTGAATGGATGTAACAAGGGAATCCTATGACTGAATGAAACTTTAAATGTTATTGATGTCTGAGTATATGGCGCGGTATGGGGGCCAAAATTAAGACTTCTGCCCAGCAGCAGGAGGCTATATAAATTTCGAAGCAAACTACTGATCTGATTAATGATAAGCTGGCGCCGGTAACTGAAAGGCTGGCGCTGCTTACTGAGGAAAAGCACCTTTACCAGTGTTATTACTAGATACGCTAGGGACTAGCAGCCCTCGGCTGGTCATTGACTGGTTCAAACACTCCCTCTGCTGTCTATTAGCATGGATAGGCTAGCGTTAGCCTGGATGGACTGGTGTTAGCATTGGAGAGGCTAGCCATTAGCGTGCCTAGGCTGGCCACTAGCTGGATTTCCTTCCTCCTCGAAGGACCATTGGCATGGATAGGCTGGCGTTAGCATCGGAGAGGCTAGCCTTTAGGGTGCCTAGGCATGCCACTAGCTGGATTTCCTACCCCCTTGACGGACCTTAAGCATGGATAGGCTGGCATTAGCATCGGAGAGGCTAGCCATTAGCATGTCTCAGAGAGTCACTTACTCTACTAGATGTTTTTTTTAACCTTTATTAAACGGATGACATACTATGAGACCTGCAATCACAGTTGTTCCTTTGACAGAACGCGTTGTTATACACATTAACTTTAAGCATATTGTAAAGCCGACAGCCTGTTAGCATTGATTAGGTGCTGCGTTAACTCCATTTTGCTCATAATTACCAGCTCAGTGGCCTAGTGGTAGAGTGTCCGCCCTGAGACTGCGACATCAGGGTTCGATTCCTGGTCGGGTCATACCAAAGACTTTGAAAAAATGGGAACCAATGCCTCCCTGCTTGACACTCAGCATTAAGGGTTGGATTGGGGGGTTAAACCACCAAATGGTTCCCGAGCGCGGCTGTGTCTGCAGCTCACCGCTCCCCCAGGGGATGGGTCAAATGCGGAGAACAAATTTCACACACACATCAGTGTGTGTGACAACTAATGGGACTTTAACTTTAATTACAGGTTGATGGCGTTTTCTTTTTACATAGTTTGGTTTTCTTGCACATATCAGAGAAAAAGCCAGGGCTAACTAGTTTGTACTTTTCATCTTTGGATTTTAAATCCTTTGTATTGAATTTCAGGTTAATACGTTAATAATTATTTAAATTGTGATATTATCTTTATTAAAACTATATAATATATTACCCCCCCCCCCCCCCCATCTAATAGAGTAAGTGGCTCTCCGAGACATGCTAATGGCTAGCCTCTACAAAGCTAACGCCAGCCTATCCATGCTAAAGGTCCGTCGAGGGGTAGGAAATTCAGCAAGTGGCCAGCCTAGGCACGCTAATGGCTAGCCTCTCCGATGCTAACACCAGCCCGTCCAGGCTAACGCTAGCCTATCCATGCTAATAGACAGCAGAGGGAGTGTGTGAATCTGTCACGTTGTGAAGGGTGGAGATGGTGGACCATGTGTGGTGGAGAGTTCAGGAGGAAGTAGAGCAGGCACAGATGAAAAATAAAAATGGTTTTAATTGTAGACTGGGAGCGACTGGACAAACGAACATGCACAAACAACAACGATCTGACAAAGACTGGCACAAGGAGGGAGGTATAAATACACAGGGAAATCAGGAACACATGGGCAGGTTAACGAGGGGCAGGTGAGAACAATAAGGGCTAATCAGGGCAGGAGAGAGACACAGTCAGGAAGGCAGGGGCAGAATGTGTTGTTTGTGCATGTTCGTTTGTCCTGTCGCTCCCAGTCTACAATTAAACTATTTTTACTTTATCCGTGCCTGCTCCTCTGCCTCTGGAACCCTCCACCACACTCAGTCCACCATCTCCACCCCAGAACATGACAGAACCAGTCAATGACCAGCCGAGGGCTGCTAGTCCCTAGCGTATCTAGTAATAACGCCGGTAAAGGTGCTATTTCTCAGTAAGCAGCGCCAGCCTCTCAGTTACCGGCGCCAGCTTATCATTAATCAGGTCGGTAGTTTGACTCAGAATTTATATAGCCTCCTGCTGCTGGGCAGTAGTCTTAATTTGGCCCCCATACCGCGCCATATAAGCTTACCTTTTGGTGCTGATCATTGACATCAGTCACAGCTGAAATGGTCATGATATACCAATGACACAACTAAGAGGACCAAGCCATCGTATTTTCCTCATCATCTTCCCCCTACCAGAAATTTCCCAGAACTCATATATTGAAAACACAGCTAATGAAAGTATAACTCATCAAAGCGGTAAGGTGCTGGAAAATCTTTAAAACTCACATTGAAGGTGCTTGAAAAGTACTTGAATTTGACTCTGACAAATTGTTCAACAACCTAAAGTTTGCACCCTCCAGACCAGCTTTTGATAAAAATACATCTCCCTGAAGGCCACACTCCTTACTTTGACAGATTGTTCCTTTGACAGGCTGCAGCACCGAAGCCCGTCTCCAAGGAGACATTAAGAAAACTTTTTCCAAGTTTTAAGGAAGTTGTATCAGCAGGATTAAGGAGATTGGAGGTCAGCAGCTCTCTGCACTCAAACGTATAAAGTATGAACAACGCCCTTTGTGGCACCACTGCAGTGCCGTACAGCTGAGTGCAGCTAACTTCGTGTTCCTACCCGCTTCCGGTATGATGCAAAAATTTACTAATTACCTAAATTTATAAGAAACCACGTGTCACTAAGAGCTGAGACTGTTGCATATTTTAAACAAGGCTTTCAAAGTCGAGACATAACTGAACTTTACACACAGGGTCCTGCAAAGGTTAACCATGAATAATTCTTGATGCTATCATGCAACCGCAGGAATTATGTGTATTTCCTAAAACTTGCATGAATATCAAAAACATTAGTAATGCAACAAAATCTGTGACATTTAAATTACCATCTGCACACCAACCACATGTGAAAAAAAAGCATGCTGCAAATTTAGAAATACTTCTTTCTGACAGTGAAGATTATTTTCAGCCTATACTGGAGTCTAACCTGCTCGAGTCTCTGTGTGCTGTTTATGTCCCAGAGAAAGAGATGCATGAGTGAAACTTACCTCTCTGAGGCTGTGCGCCTGCTCCAGTAAATCTGCTCTCCGTCGTTCTGCCTGCTTCACATGGAAGGAGTTGCTTTGGCTCTGGATGACAAACACTATCTCCTGCAGGTCTGGAGGAGCACATAAAGGACAGAGATGTGAGAGAGCTCACATACTGTGAAAAAGGACCGTGGCAATCAATGACCTTCTGAGAGCAGGGCAAGATAAGAGCCACATTCTGAGTCACTGAGGTGACTTTGGCTAATCTCTGGTGATAATAAAACACCACACCATGGGCGTAATTGACTCGAGAGAGCGTATGTAAATGTCACATAGACGGTTTTACTTAATGAAAGATGTGCAGAGAAAATGGGTTTTCCCCCATAGGTGCAGTAATACCCAGAAGGTTGACACGGCACAGCTGCCCACCTTAGAGACACAGCTGGATCGTGAGTAGATTTCAGCCTTGCAACTCAATAGCATCAGTTTATAAAAGTCCAATATGTGCGACGGTAAAGCTTAGATTCCATTCTGCCATCGACTTTTCCAGCTGCAGGTCGTCTTTGTTTGGAATACATGAATACGACTGCAGAATTCAAACGGCTCGGTGAAAAATCACGTTGGCCGCACAAACAAGTCTGCAGAAACCCTCTGGCTTTCACGGCCAATACAAAACAAGAACAAAGAACCACGGGGAAGGGATAGGAAAGAAGAGGTTTCATTTTGTCTTTGGCTTTGCACAATTACATTTGACAACTCTAAAATCCTGCAAGCTGTCCCTCACATCAACACAAAGTCTGCAGAGCCTTGCTGAAATGACTGCGACAACAAAAAGGGTTTTCAAGGATTTAGAGCTGAGAGGTGGAAGGCAGTATCAGGTAAAAGGAACAACGGAGGACTTGTTGGGAGTTTGTAGCTTTAACCAGTAGCTCAGAAATGTAGAAACAGGACGTGCAAGGCTGGACGAACCACATTCCCTGGTTCAAATCATTTGAACTGAATTAGACAAATGAATAGATTAGTTACTGGCACAGAAGGTGGTCATCAAAACCACATGTTGTTTTAATTTAATTATAAGGAGGCTTTCAGCGGTACTGTAGAACAAATGACATGGATGAAAGTTTGCAGGGTTTGCAACAAAGTTAAAATGAAAAGCCTTGCATTTCTTGATGGAATGCGTTTTATCTGTAGCTCTTAACAGCAAATACTTAAAACTGTCATGGCAGCACTGATGCTTTGGTGTAATCTTGAAAATGAGATCAATGCATGATCGCACACAATATCGCAGGCGTTTGGCGCAATCTGTTAGCACTCCGAATAACCCAGTTAAATCCATTTTTAAGGTGGTGACTGAAAAGGCCAAATAGAACGTGTTCTAATTTTAGATCTAAGGAGGACCAGCCCACCAGACACTTGAGGGCGACTAATGCAATAGACACATCTTCCCCCTAAGCTCAGCTGCACATCCTTTTCTATCCAGAGCATGTCAGATGTGCAGCGCCAGTGAACAGGCCACTGTTGTAAATAAGAATTTGTTCTTAATCTGCTTTTGCCTGGTTAAATAAAGGCTCTGCGGGATCTGGAAAAACACAGGAAGACCATGCATGATTTTACAAGTTCACGCAACAGCAAGCAAGGAGAAAGAGCATGCATCCAAAAGCTCTGTGATTTATTTTCTGTTCTTTTTAAATCCACAACAAGCCTATGTTACTATTAAAATATGTATTTGTTTTGTGTAGATTAGCAACAGAAAATTTGAACATGTCTTTATTTCAAAATTTGCCTGATGCTTTACACTGTTCCCACGTTGATTTCCTGTCTGGCTTGATTTGAAGTTGCCATGTTCTGGTAGCATAAAGGGTAAAAAAAATAGACCTGGTGCATGAAATTAGCAAAGTAATGCAGCTACGGTTCTGGGACGCATCCGCTATGTACCACTGGGAAACAACCGATTGACAGTAACGGTGGGTATTCGCTTCACACATGCTAGGCGCTGCTTACGCATCCAGTAAAAAGCCGTGGTCACTGAGAGTTTCAATGAAATCTATTCGGTGGTTCACGAGATATTTCTTAACAGAAACAGAACAACCATG